ACGCCGTCTATGCTGCCCCGCCTGGGGAAGCGGCCCTCCTGCTGGGGCGGGAGGGGGGCTCGGAGGTGTCCCGCGTCCGCAGGACGGGAAGGACTTGGCCCTTGCACAATGGCAGGCATGGCGTTGCTAGCTGAGCACACCGCGGCAGCAAAGGCGAAGCTGCAGGCCTCACTTTGACAGGGGCACGAGGCTCCATTTAAAGTGGCTGCTGCGCGGGCGGAGCCTTGATCGCCGAGCTCTGCGCTTTGACCGCATTCCGTGGGCACTAGCGGCCACGGGGGTTTTCTTCGGGGCCAGTCAAAATGGTTCGTGTGCACAGCTCACTCTGGCTGCAGCTAAGGGGGGGGTGGGGGGCGGGTTGGAATTTGGCCGCAATCGCTAGTGACTCACAGGCCCCTGGGTCCCGGGGGTGTGGCCACTGAGACACGTCCGGTGCCGGGCTTATAATAGGCACTCGAATATTTGTTAAATGATTTGTTGAATGAACCAGACAAATGGCAGTGGGAAAGGAGAAATGCAGATTAAGTGGGGAGATATTAGGAGGTACGCATGGTGAGAAGCTGGCGACTGTTGGGGCAGAGGAGAGAAGGGCCTGGGCGGACTCCCAGTTTCAGTCTTGGTTCGGACATGATGAATCTGAGATGCCTGAGGCCCCGCGGGTGGGATGACAGGGCCTTTGAGGAGCCTGGAGCCGCAGCACTCCGAGGCCACAAGGGGGCAGCAAACACCTGGTGGAATGAGGTGACAATTTTAGTCTCTGCTCTTTCTCCAGTGTAGAGACCACAAAATCTGAAATATTTAGATCGGTGGTTCTCAACCTTCCTAATGCCGCGACCCTTTAATACAGTTCCTCATGTTGTGGTGACCCCCAACCATAAAATTATTTTTGTTGCTACTTCATAACTGTAATTTTGCTACTGTTATGAATCGTAATGTAAATATCTGATATGCAGGATGTATTTTCATTGTTACAAATTGAACATAATTAAAGCATAGTGATTAATCACAAAAACAATATGTAATTATATATGTGTTTTCCGATGGTCTTAGGCGACCCCTGTGAAAGGGTCGTTCGACCCCCAAAGGGGTCGCGACCCACAGGTTGAGAACCGCTGCCCTAATGGGTCCAAACCTCTTCTGGGCTCCCCTTCTCGGCTAACAGCACCAAGAAGGCTCCCAGTTAAGAAACTCAAGGGCTTTTTCTGCCTTTGCACTTGCTGCTCCTTGGGCCCTCGAAGACCCTGCATATCGCCCTCTAGGGCTGCCTCCTCCATTCTTTTCTTCTGTGTCCACCTGATGGGGCTGCCCTTTTCCATGACTATCTCGCAGCTAGCCATTGCAGAGCAGAGGTCAGGTGGACCCTAACTGTATCCTCCCCACCTGGCATGGAATGTTACATAAAGAGGGATAATTGGTAAATGTGGGACAAATGGATATGTAAGTGAATGTTCAAATCAAATGAGAGCATTCGTCCTGAGAGCCCTACACCTCCCAGAAAGCTGGACCTGGATGAATATAGCTCCTGGTTCAACCACTAGGAAGGTTGACAACACTGCCCTCCATCACCCCCATCCTCACCCCGTCCCCATCCTAGACCAAGAAGCCGGTACACTCCTCCAGTGATCTCTACAGTTTATTGTCACTGGAATAGGACACTGATGAGGGGAGGGTATGCAAAGTAGCCAGACCTGTGACCTCAGGGCCCCATCTGAGTGCGGACAGGTAGGCTGTGAATCCAATAAATACAGAGCTGCCTCTGCCCTATTAGAAGGGCAGGCTGGCACAGGGCCCCAAGCCTGGCTGCCCTGGCCCACTGTGGGATGGGTAGCAGCCATCACTCCTCTGCTGGCTTCACTTGCTTGGCGGCTTCTAGCTGGCACAGAAGCTCATCCCACTGCACGAACTGCTTGGAGAGAAGCAATGTCTAGTTGCAGGTCAAGGTGAAAACAGGAGTCTGAGTGAGGTAGTGCAGATATTTTGCATCTGCCAAAAGGGTAGGGGAGCAGGGGAATAGAGCTGGTTGGGATGGAATGAGACAGAGTTAGAGATGGGAGAAAAGGACAGGGCTTTGCACAACTCCTCAGGGGCCTGGCTGAGCAGAAAGGATACAGTTTTGTTGTATTCCTCCAGGAGAGCCTTGGACTCCTCAGTGATCTCCACACACTGGTCCTGTGGGGCCAAGGTGTGGAAAAGAAAGACGGACAAAGCCCTTATTTCCCACCAACCTTTCTGCCTCATCAGGGACCCTCATCCCCATAGAGGTGACGCTTAACCCCAGAGCCAAAAGAAGCAGATTTCTAAAGGGGTACTTTCAGGCTCCAAAATGGGTACACAAATAGCAGTTTTAAAGCTGATGTAAGGAGGAATGGACCCCACATTTAAGGAAACATTTCCGCTAGTATATATCACCTCCTCCCGTCCTCTATTTCTGAACCCTTTTTGGATTTACACCAGAGCCTGGGAATAATGAAACACACACACACACACACACACACACAGCTTCTCCACCCACAGTCAAGGATACACCATCCCCAGGGATTCTTGGATACCTCCCAACTCAACCTTTTGGTGTTTCAGAGTAACCCTACTTTGGGAGGCAGGAGACCTGGATGTGGCCCTAGGCAAGTCCCTTCCCCTCTCTAAGGCTGATGGGAATGAAGGATAGACCGCCAAGTTTCCCCTGGAGTGGATATCAGGGTAGCCTGAGGCTGCTTCCCCAGGCGGCTGGGGTGGGGACTAGGAGCCTCACCACCTTCCCGTTCTCTCCCCTCCCATACTTGCTGCTGGATGTGGATCTGGGCCAAGCGCTGCAGGCAGGCGGCATGCTCAGGAACAGCTGTAAAACACAATGCACACCGCCGATGATGCTTGTGCCTTCCCCCGCCGGCTCAATAGTCTATTAGGTCTTTGACAGGATTAGAGTATTGAGTGGAGAAACTAAACAAACGCCAGGCTTCATCGACCGCTGCAGCTAGAGGAGGTGGTAGGACTCCCTGCTCACGCCAGTCATATTCTAGGACCCAAAAAGGAGGGGAAGATACAGGCCCCTAGAAGACAAAACCTTGGGGTCCCCAGAGTTGCCCCATACCTCCACTCCAGCGTCATAAGCAGTGACAGGTAAAAAGAGCTTTACCTATCATGGGATCTGTCCCTTTGCTCTCGGCCAGCGGGACCAGGTCTGCCTGACCTAGGGAACAGGGTGCCTGCAGGTGGGCTGAGGATAAATGCCAGGTCCCTAAGCTAGCCACCTGAAATCCAATACCCAAATCCTTGGCCACCATGCTAGGCCCAAAGCTGAAGGCTGTTAGATGCTCAGCAGGTAGCTGACCAGGGGTAGGGAGGGGGAGCTGGGAGAAATACCTGCAGAGACAGACAAGATGGATATCTGGATTCAATTAAAGTCACTGTCTGCTTGTCAAAACCCAGGCATAGAGACTGCTCTCAGCAGTGTGGCAGGAAGAATTCACACACATTCACATACCTGGCAGAGAGACTCTGACAGTAAAATCTGGGCTCTGCAGCACCCTAAAGGACAGATGCTGAGAGGTGGGATAAAAGGCAGAAGGAATCCCCAGAGTTGGGGCTGCTGGGCTTACATTACTATCCTTAGGCCAAAATTGCCCAGGGTTCTGAAACTGAGCTCTCTGCCTTGGCAATTTTTAATCCCAATGCAGAAGGCAGGTACCCCGCCAGGTTAAAGATAAAGGTAAGGGCCCTGGTGGTGTGGCTCAGTTCATTGGAGCATCATCCCATGGAGGTCATGGGTTCAATTCCTGGTCAGGGCATATACCCAAGTTGTAGGTTCGATCCCTGGTCGGGGTGTGTATGGGAGGCAACCAATCAATGTTTCTCTCTCTTTCCCTCTCCCTTACTGAAATCAATTTTAAAAAAACATATCCTTGAATAAGGATTAAAAATGGAAAAACAAACAAACAAAGACAAGGAGCAGACCTAGTCTGAGCCCAGGGAACCTGAGGCACAGGGAAGTCCTGTAAAAACATATCCTTGAATAAGGATTAAAAATGGAAAAAACAAACAAAGACAAGGAGCAGACCTAGCCTGAGCCCAGGGAACCTGAGGCACAGGGAAGTCCTGCCCATCCACCCACCTCCCCAAGCAGAGTAGTGGAGAGGTACCTTTGATATGAGCGCTGTCCAGCATGGGCACCAACGCCTCCACCTGCTCCAGAAGTGCAATCTGGGAGAGGATAAACTGCTCCTCTGAGGATAAACAGACAAGATAGTGGCAGTGAGGCAAGCCTGGGCACTGCTACTCCAACGCAAGAGGCTGAGATCCTGGCAGGGGAAATGGCTGGGTCCTAGAGCTTGGATCTACTGACCACTGCTCCCTTCTCAAGGTGCACATTCCCCCATTCTGCCCCCAGACCCCCTGAATGCCTCTGGTCTGACCCATCTTGAGCCCAAGGAGCCTCTAAGTTTCTCCAAATCCAACTTTTCTCCAATTTTTAACTTGAAGGCCTCTTCCTCTAGCCTCAACAAATTCTGTGAGCCCCTCTGAGGCCACAGGAGACAAATTACTTCAGACTTAGGACCCCACACTCAGGGCTCCTGGGAAGGGAAGGTCTGAAAGAGGAGACGTGGCCGCGGCCAGGCCGGTTCTGCTCTGTGGCTCCGGAGAACTGGGGCAGTAACAAAGAGTCCAATAAGGAGAGCATGGCCCTGTGAAGGGGATTTCAATGGTTGCAAAGAGTGGGAAGGGCACCGAAAAAGGGAGGACTGTTATGTCAAACATTTGGAAGCAAGAGTGCTTGTCAATTAGTAACGGAAAAATAATTTAAGTTGCTGAACTGGACAAAGGAGAGCATAGGAAACAGAGCTGGATGGGAGGGGAGAGCCAGCAAACTGTAGGCGGCTTTGAGTGGCAGGCTAGGATTTAGGACTTTATCCTAGCAAGGAGAGAAAGAAAGAGACACTGAAGTTCCCCAGTAGACAAAGCGGCATGTTGGAAATGTGTTTGGGAAAGATGACACTGGACCACATGCAAGAAGGGAAGGCTAGGGTCAAAAGAGGACTTGGGGAACTGTAACAGTTGATGTGTGAGTGGACGAACACTTAGGCAGCAGTCAGAGGGAGGGATGGAGAGGCTGGATTCAAGAGTTAGTGCAAGAGATTTCCTGAATTTGATGCAGTAGATGATTATTAAAAATCTTTTCAATGAATGAACAAGCACAGATGCTTGGCAAACCCTGCCTCATGGAGTGGTTGACTAACTGATGAGCAGACATTGCCTAGAACTCTGAAATCCCAGAGCTTTCTCATATGAAAAAAAGATGTAGAAACTCATGCCAATATTCTCCTCTCCCAAATGCAATGCTCTCTGCTCCCACCCTTTCCTAGAAGCTCCTCTGTGAGCAGAAGTGAGAAAGGTTCTAAAGGAAAATTCTAGAAGTAGACCATTGATAGAACATTGGAGTCACTCCCACTGTGGCTAGCACCACGGCCTCCAGGTGGTTCAGAAGTACACCACATCCAGTGCCACTCGAGAACCACCGGACCACCTCAGCTTCAGCCCAGACGATGGCCAGAATTCCAGACAGCAGTTTCCTGGGCTTTACCCATTAGGACTGGCAGGGAGGCCAGCTCTGTGCCCAAATTCCCCCACAATCCACATCCCCAGATGCACGTGCATACCTGCTAAGATGAACTGCAGCTTAGAGGCATCAGGTATGGCAATGCGGTCAATGTACTCAGGATCCAGGTATTTGATCAGGTCTTCAACTAGACAAGTAGCAAGATGGAAATGGATTAGGGTTGGGGAGTGAGGGTCTGTTTTATGAAGGATATTAGGGGAATGGTCCACCTTGGGGAGAGCCTTCAGTGAGGAGCTGACGCCCCCAGTGTTCATTAGCAGGTCTCTACCAGGGCTGCTATCCATACTTCCCTGTCTCGCCCCTCTGATCACCTGCTGGCTGACCTCAAACTTTAGAGCTTGGAGCATACTGGGGCCCTCAGTATTCCCACTGACCTATGTTCACCAAGGGTGGAAGGCCCCTTGCCCCTCAGTGCCACCAAGACAACCAGAGCTCTATCTGATTTCTAATTACTGGGCAGGTTGCTGGCTGAGCCAAGGCTAGGACTCCAGTGCCTAATTAATTTCCCGCCTCTGAACCTTGCCTGTGGAAATCCCATACCTGTTCTCCATACTTCACCAAAGGGATCTTTCAGACAGAGCTCTTAGCCCATCACTTGGGACACTGTCATGGGCTTGGAGTTTTACCACTAAATAGAAAGTACAGCCCAATTCACCATTTCAGCAGGGAAATGTCTTCACATTCCATCCCCGAAGGGCAACTCCAGTGACCTAATGGGCTGAAGGACCAGGGCCAGTCCTCAGGAAGTACAGGCATGGAAAAGAAGAAGGCAGGCAGGCACCCGACAGGAACTTACTCTTCTTGAACAGAATCTTCACTCTCTCTCTCTTACTCGCGATGTTCCCCAAAGCTACCTGCACCTTGACCAGGCCATCAGCCACCTGTAAGGGGAGTGAAAGTTACTTCCAAGATACACCACCTGGTTCAAGGCTTGGAAGATGTAAAGAACCCGCATTCCCTCAGACTCCCAAACCTCTTTGCCCCAGAAATCTAGGTTGGTCACTTTTTCTTGTATTAAAGGAGATGTAGCTCCACCTGCCAGGAATCCTCAGTGTGAACGGGGAGATAATCATGTACTCCTTGGGGGAGTTTCTAGTTTGATTGGGGAGATAAGGAACTATTTTAGAGTTTATGGGGCACTGGCATATACTATATATTCTCTGGTTCCCACCTCTCTGACTGAACCTACCTAGACTTTAAGGGTAGAGGATGAGGAATTCCAATATTAAAGGGCTGAATAGCCCTAACTAGTTTGGCTTGGTGGATAGAGCGTTGGCCTTCGGACTCAAGGGTCCCAGGTTCGATTCCGGTCAAGGGCATGTACCTTGGTTGCAGGCACATCAGTAGTGGGTTGGGGAGATAACAAACTATTTTAGAGTTTATGGGGCACTGGCATATACTATATATTCTCTGGTTCCCACCTCTCTGACTGAACCTACCTAGACTTTAAGGGTAGAGGATGAGGAATTCCAATATGAAAGGGCTGAATAGATGGAGAGGTAATGGCAGTGAATGATCTCACCCAAAATTCAAGGGTCAATAATATGGGGAGGCACATAAAACTGAGCAGCACAGCCATCCTTGCAGTAGGAAAACCATGAGGGTTAGCATCATAGATGCCAAAGGGAGAGAATGTTTTGCGAAGTCAGTTCTCAAATGGGGCACAATCTGCTGGTACCAACTACTTCCACGGGAGTGTACAGATATCATTACCTCTGATGCACTTAAATCCAGGACATCCCTGACACTCCACCTTCAGTAAAAGGTCTTCCCATAGTAAAAAGGGGGTAAGAGGACAACTGAGCTTCACCGTTGTCAAAATTCAGGTACTGGTGTGAAGACGTGCCAGTCCACATTGGAAAACCCGGTATCCAATCCCTTCCCCTCCTAATCCTAGTCCTCTCGGACCTCACCTCTCACCCGCGCCCCGCGCCCCGCCCCCCGCCCGCGCCCCGGAGCCTTCCTTGATCACCTCTGCTCTGCCTCTTCTAATCCCACGGACCTCTTTCTGCATAATTCATTTAGCAATTAATTACACAGAGCTTCATGCCACCCCTCCATTGTGGACCGCAGCTTCCCCAGGGTGTCAAGGCTCCCCAGCTGGCAGGAGCGGAGTCTTAGTCACGGTTCATACTGAGCCCACTTCAGACGGGCCCAATGCCCCGCAGATCCCTGCATGGGCATGGGTCCCGAGGGTCCAAAATGCTCCGGGAGGTCTCGGACCTGTGTTATTTCAAAGGCCGGACTGTGGGCGACGGGACTGGAACCGCACCCACCCGAGGCACAGGCCAGCAGACCGCCCGTCTCTGCCTCAGAAAGGGACCGCTGCACCCAAATCGCTCACCTTCCGCGAGCCGCGCGACCCACCCGGTCCGTACACCCAGCGCTCCAGCTCCTCTACGCGGGCCTGTAGCCGCTGCACATCGGGCACAGCCGCCATAGCTACCGCCCCGCCTCAGCCGGGAACAGCTGGAGGGCGGGACGTCCGTCCAAATAGAGAAGGCTAGCCAATCCGAGGGCACGGGCTCCCCTCCATTCAGGAAGTGATGTCACGACATAGGCCTTCAGTGCCGGAAGCGGCCGGCTGGGCGGGTGAAGAGACTCGAAAGCTGTCTGGTTACCTAGGCAACGGCCACTCCTGTTTGTCAAGACCACCTTTACCTTTCTTTTTCTAATTTCAGGGGACCAAAGAGGTTTCTCCACCTCATTCCCCGAAGTTGCACATATAAATACACTCATTATTTCCAGGGTTGGTCCATTCCTATAGATCAATAGATAGCATAATCTTTTAGAGTCTAATAATGTTCAAACGATGGGGCCACTCAGTACTATAGTGGCAGAATCAGGATTTGAACTCAGGCAGTCTGACTCATGAGACTGAGCTCTTGTATTCTCATGGGCCTTTGCTGTTCTGTCTTCCCGCTGAGAACCCTTGGCCCAACGCTGCCTGTAAACCACACAATTCCTTTTCCAACCCCCAGATACAAACAAGAAGAGGCACTAGGGAGGGAGGGACTACAGCTTTATTATCCAGATGTGACCTGAGGGACATCTCCTTCACAACATCCCAATCCAACCCTTCATATGGCTCCTGAAGAGAAGAAGCAGGTCTGACTCCAAGAGGTAGGGTCCTAGACATGACATTGACAAAGTGAGGAGACGATGGGGGCTTCTAGGGGCAGGACTCTTTGGTAGATGCTGCTGGAGTTGGCCAGAGAGGAAGTGCCCTCCCTTTACAATGAGGTAGATGTAACATCAAAAGAAAACTCTTTGGCTTCAAGTCCACATGGCATGTGGGGAGGAGTGGTCCCCTCCCAGGTCTGGGTCCTAAAGTGGCCCTCTGGAAGAATCAAGGTGGAGGGGGTGTCTCCCCCCACCCAGCAATGGGCTAGGACTCTTAATTCAAAGTGGGAGCTCTCAGGGTGAGGTGCCGGAAGGGGGCCCTGTAGGGGCTGGGGGTACAGGGTTAATTGGGCCCTGGGAAGCTGGCACAGGCTGGCGGCGGGCAAAGAGGATGCCTGCCAAAGGAGTAAGGAGATGGTAGAGGGAAAATACAAGCAGGAGAGGGGATGACAGGGAAACAGAAGAAGGAAACAGAAGTTAGTGACCTGATTGCTAGAACACCACACACATACCTCTGCCACAAACCAATGAGGATAAACCCCTTGGGTCAGTCAGAGACTTCTATGCTAATATAGATATCCTCGAACAGGTAAACAATAGCTACACTGATATATAGGCCAATGACAAGGCAGACATCCCGTAGTACCCACCAGGGAAACAGAAGAAGGAAACAGAAGTTAGTGACCTGATTGCTAGAACACCACACACATACCTCTGCCACAAACCAATGAGGATAAACCCCTTGGGTCAGTCAGAGACTTCTATGCTAATATAGATATCCTCGAACAGGTAAACAATAGCTACACTGATATATAGGCCAATGACAAGGCAGACATCCCATGGTACCCATAGAGAGGTCATGCCTTGACCCCCATGCCATGTAGACAGACCCTTTAACCCATGCCAATGTAGCAATCCCCTGAACCCCATATTACCCATGCAAGTTTGGATATCCCTGAATCCCATGCGAGTAGAAAAAGTCTAAAATCCCCATGCCAATGTAAATACCCCTGACCTCATGCCAGTGCAGACAGCATGCAGTACCCGTACCTGTGTAGACCACCCCGTTGATCTCTAGGGCCATGTTGATACTGCTGATACCACTGCCTGCCAGATTGAGAGGCCCATCCAGCCGCTCTTCTGTCCAGGAGGGGGCAGGGGAGTCACATTTTTGGGAATCAGACTTCAGACTTACAAGTTCCCCCCTCCATCCCTATAGACGCCCCCCATTCGACTTCAGCCTCACACCTGTAATCACACAGTTGTCTATTTAGGGATCTATCTGCCCCACCTCCAATGCTTATCAGGTAGTAGGTCTGTCCTCCCACAGTGCACAGGCCCAAAACCCTATCAGCAACAAGCCCTTCCTCACCCCTTAGGGGAACCTTGCCATGGGGCAGAAAACTTGGGGGTGCACCAGGTTGAGGTGGGTCCATGGGCCCCATCAGCACAGCCCTCTTCTCTGGAGGCTCCTCTGGTGCTAACTTCTCCCGGGCAGGTCCCAAGGCCAGGCCCACAGGCAGTGCCAGTCGAGGGGGTGGAATTCCACTCTCTTCTGGAAGAATAGGTAATTCAGCTCCCCTGATCCAACCAAGTCAGTATCTGCATTTAGTTCTCTCCCCAGGCCTGGCACCAAGGGAGGTCAGTCACCCAAGTTCAAGCACCAAGTTCAATCCCCACTCCCATCCAGAGTCTCAGCCTAGAGGCTCTGAAACTGGAGAGCCCAAAGGGCTAATATGTTGATTTGTTGTTGTTTAGAGAGAGAGGAAGAAAAAGAGAGAGACAGACAGAGAGAGACAGAGAGAGACAGAGAGAGAGATGGGGAGGGGGGGGGAGAGAGAGAGAGAGAGAGAGAGAGAGAGATCAGTTGTCTCTGTAACCCAGGTATGTGCCCTGACTGGCAATAGAACCCACCACCCTCTGGTGTACAGGAGGACGCTCCAACCAACTGAGCCACATCAGCCAGGACCCAAAGGGCCAATATATGCCTAAATTGGTCCAAAATTTGGAGGAATAATCCAGGTCACAGAAGGCACAAACCACATGCAAATAGAACCCTGGGTGAACAGGTGTAACATGGAATTGCTTTGGATAAAGGACCTTCAGCCGCGTACCACAGTAACCCCTACTCCGGGGTTCCCAAGGCTTCACTGACCCCAAACCCCAGGACCCCTAAGGTTAGAGTGCATCAAATCCCAGTGCCCCATCAGTCTCTACTGCCCCATACCTCAATGCCTCCCGCATCCCATAGACCCCCTATGTTAACGTTCCCTATATCTCAGCGTACCCCTGGGTCTCGGTGACCCCTAAACCTCAGCCCCTCGCCCCTCACACCTTTCTTAATGGGGCTCGGGCTCAGCTGCGCGCAGGCGTG